TCCCGTCCCCGATCCTGGGAAAAATTAGCTGCGTCGATACCATATATGTCGATGTGCGCTTCGACCGCACGCATTCAGCTAGATTGGAGGCAAGCGCTTTTAGCTACAAGCCTACAAGCGTTGTAGGATAAACTCTATGTGAAAAAAAGGATGTGGCTACATCTCAGCCGACTGAGATTAAGTCAAGTCTCAGTCGAGTGACATAACATGAAAGAGAGAAAAAGGAAAAGAAAAAAGTGAAGAAAAAATTGCATGGATATCAATGTAATATCTCATGGATATAACATCGACTAAGACTTTCTCAGTCGACTGAAACTTACCAAGACTGTCAAAATAATATATATTTTTATTTTTCTCAAGCGCCTAAGCAGGCATCTTGCATTGGACATGGACTTAGAAAAGGCGATCTTATGGACTGTCCCTGCAAAAAAGGTTTAAACAGAATAAGTAACTCGCCAAAAATTTAGTTTGAACCACCAATGGGGATTGCACGAAAGGCTCCAGTCGTTGTAGCTTGTTACGAACAAATTTTTCAGGCTCACCAGCCTATCATCAACGGTTTCCACAACGTCACCAGTCCATCCCCCCAGATCTAATATTCGAGGCAAAGACTAGGTTACACATAGATTTGGCGACACAAAGTTGCTAGTGTTTCGAGAGGGGGTTCCATAACCCATGAGAAAACCCGCACAACAAAGAAATAGAACACCCACGACCAACGTGACTACAAGACGAACTTAACACACACAACTGCAAAACCAATATCAAGGCCATCGAGCAACATAAAAAAAGAGCAGCATCATTGGCATCATATCCATCGCTCGCAATATGGGTACTTCAACTTCTTCATGGATAACCAGTCAACCTCTAACATCGATCGCCGTAGCATGACGCACTCCTAGTCATTACAACCTCGTGGTGTCCATTCACAAAAGCAAATATGAGTAATGGAATATTTTTACCATGGTGAACTTCCCATGCCAAATCGGAGAAAATTTCAAACTCCAAACTCAATAATTTCTAGTGATTGGGCGTTCGTTTCACATTCCGTACCACGGAACCGAATCCCTTATCGGTAGAAAACCTTGACATGCGCCAACTTGATGGGTTGGGAAAAAAATCTTTGGATGGTAATATTGGGTCTATGTCTGCTTGACTTTGCCAATTCTTCCATCAATTGTTCAAAGTTCAGACAGGGCTTTGACGTTTTTGGCAGCTTTGAAAAGAATAACCGGCAGAGGCAATAACTCCCGAAGAGCTTTGGATGGTTGCTCTCTGAGGCAACTGTCACAGCATGCCGTTGAAAAACACAGCAGGGTAACTATCTGCCGTACACGATGGTATACGTGTCAAATATTATTCAAAGCAACTGACCAAGTGAAAAGTTCTGGATGAAGGTTACTTACATGCAGCTGATATTCACTGGAAATTACACTGCCAAACCTTTTCATTTTCCATCTCTTACTACGTACTAGTCCTATGAGACTGCATATATTTAAAGAAAGTGCTCTCTCGATACGTAGTACATGCATCCTCATGTATCACGTGGTTGAAAAAGAATTAGCGGTAGTTGATTTTTCAAAGAAAAAAAGACGATCGGCTAATCGAATGTTTCGTGAGGCATGCAGCAACGTGAGTGCACACACATGCATGGACAGAGCGTTTGTGTTTTGCGTGTGTTGCATGCATTGCGGCGCCGTGGAAGCTTTGGAGTTCTAGTTTCCCCGAAAAGGAAATGAAATGCGAGCGAGACGATGCCGTCCGTCGGGGAACCACGAATTTGGGTGCTGCCTTTCTAGGGCTTTTTGGACGGAGCATACTTTTCCATTCGGTTCGGCAGGATAAAAAGTCACACGAGTTGGTAGTATGACTGGGAATTCGGGTCCAGCACACAACCACGCATGCACGTGCACCCAAGCAATCAAAAAGTTTGGGTGTATCGAAATCCATCGAGTTAAGTACTCCCTCAAAGTAGTGATCTAAACAAGCTTATATTTCTATATGGAGGGAGTACGCACGCGCATGTTTAAGCTCCTAAGGCGACAATTTTTCTCCTTCCTTGCGAGCTACTCCCATCTTAGAGCCATGGAGGCATGGTGGACCCCGGTCCTTGTCGATGGAAGGGCTCCTGATTTGGTTTTAGGTGTTCTTTTTAGTTTATTTAAGATTTGTGTCCTGCTCAAGAAGCGAGGTAGCAGCAGCTCCTTAAAAATGGAATAAAATTTTCCCAGCAAGCCCCTATCCCGGCTATTGAATAGTTTCGGTAGTTGTTTACTACTCCATCCGTCCGAAAATACTTGTCATCAAAATAGATAGAAAGGGACGTATCTAGAACTAAAATACATCTAGATACATCCTCTTTTATTAATTTTGATGACAAGTATTTCCGGATGGAGGGAGTAATTCCTAATACATTCACCCACGTATCCCACTTGGAACGCTAGAAATATATTGTACTGAACGCATGTAGGCAGTAGTGTGGACCAACATGGCACGCAGAAAGATAAACGTACGCCAAAACAACCTGTGGTTGGATGGTTATGTGGACAGTGGTATTTTTAGCCCACCAAGGTTCAAGTCCTGATGCTCACATTTATCTTTAAATTATTTCAGGAATTCCGGCGATGCGCGTTCAGTGGGAGAAGACGGTCCCGTCGACTACGAGGCGCCTACGGTGACTTCGTAAAATCTCAAGATGATATGCCGGCTTAGTCTCTCAGAGGTGCTCATAGGGGTAGGGTGTGCGTGTGTGCGTTCATAGGGGTAAGTGTATGCATGTATATATGAGCGCTTGTGTCTGTACTATGTTAAAGAAAACATACGTAGTTGGGTAATCCTAAATTCCATCCTGGTTTTAAAATAATAGGACGATGTATGTGCGTTGCACCCGGGTATAAATATTTTACTACATTAGCTTATGATTTGCCTTCCTATATTGATGCAATTGTGTAAATAAATGTTTATCAAATCTTGCACGTGATTTACCTTATATTGTGATGAGAAGTTTGATAAGTAAATTGGAATTGGTTCAAGAGATAAGTAAATTAAGGTGATTCACACAAGAAATGTTGGACGAAGGGGTGGTGGAAAGAAAAGTGAAACATGGAAGCTTACATTTTCTTAAGTAGTATAGAGATATAGAAGTCTCCATGATAGTTAAAGAAGCCCGCACCGTCTTTGATTAGTTTCAAATAGTAATACTCCCTCCGATCTTTATTACTTATCGCTCAAATAAATGTATTTAGACGTATTTCAGTGTTACTATATGGCACTCCTTTCGTCTTTGAAAAAAATGCCTATATATTTCCTGTGAAGTCATCGGCAAAGCAAATATCCTGTGAAGTCAAATGGTGGGACCAAGTTTCTTGAAAAAGGCATTAACTATTATAATATCAAATTAATAACATTAGATACACAACAAAATTTATGTATGTACAATAACTCTCTGGTATTGTAGTTGTTACTAAGTTGACAAGTTTTCCTATAATTTGGTCCAACTATCCCCGTTTGATTTCTGACAAAATTTATAGGCCTTCTTTTGAGAAACGGAGGGAGTACTTATTCAAAACACCAGCACTGACTTTAACCTCTACTAGCTACACTTAGCTGCCCGACTTGATTAGATTAGTCTTGCACGCACAAAAGCTGGCAAGACTTTGTACACACGTAGGTCGTCGAAGTTAGCTATTGTATCATTGATCGTGATGACAATGGCCATGAATAGTAGATAGATAGACCCAGTGCATTTTAATTTCTTTTATGTGGCTTGCTATAATATATGCATATATAGCGTGTGTCCACTGGAAACGTCCAATATATTTGACGTACGTGCATGCAAGCATGTCCGTACGGACATCTGTATGGTGCACGTATATCTTCCGTTCTAGTGGGTGAGTTTTTGTCCAACTCTTGGAACGGTCTCAATGACTAATATGGAACGGAGGGAGTACAATTCAAACCTCTTGCTTGATTGCGTGCATGCATACATGAATTCAAAACGAGCACAGTTTGGGTTTGAAGTCAGAACGAGCACACAAACTCGGTGTTCAAAATAGACTTTTCTCTGTATATTTGGCGTGTTAAATACTCTCATATTCCATCCTTACGCAAGAGAAAAGGACGTAAATAACATTGAAAACCAGCACAATCTTTTATTGATGAAAAGCAACACGAACTTGATTAATGAATAGATGCAAGTGGTTATATTTATTAACCATTTAAAAAAGTATATACTCCATCCCACAATAAGCATATACATATTTTTGTGGAGGAATGCAATATATACGCATACACTCACATAGGATCTTTTTTACATTTTTGGTTCATCCAGATGACCAAGTAGGAAAAAATGCAGTTTGACACAATCTCACGGATTAATTAATGTTGGACCAATTATATCTTTTTTTGGGGGGGAAACACTCCTAGCATGCTAGGGAAAGAGTTTCGAAAGGCCGCGTCATTGTCCCTATCTATATTCTAAACTGAGATATCAACGGTTGCAAGCTTTTTCTCTTTTTTCCTGCCCTAAGAATGTGGTCCCAAAGTCCACAATTCATTTCCCATACGTAGAGAATGCTTCATGTTCTTCGATAGTGGCGTCACTAGCTTTGCTAGGTGCATTAATGTTGATAGGTAATCACAAACTGCTACCTTGACTTGATGGTGTTTTATCCTGTAAGGTTCCAACGGTAGCCACATATATAAACCGTCGGTCTATAAATCCCATGAGGACAGGAGAATTTTGCAGCATAGTTGATCTAATCCTTGGAACTATTCCAGCCACGTAACTATGCGACTTTGCCAAACCAAATATGTGCCCCTCGTACACATACATATCATGGCACTCGTATATACACATTTATATACCTTAATAATTCATATAAGTCTAGCTAACCATCACTTTCTCCAATCAATACAAGGCAACCAATGGAGTTACCAACTTGAAGTCTATACATATATTTCTTCAAATTGAATTTTCCAAAGGAATAAAGCCATTCCACATGCATTCACACGAGCCCCGGATGCGGTGGACGGAGGAGCTGCACCGGCAGTTCATCGAAGCTGTCGATTGCCTCGGCGGCCAGGACGGTGAGTTCTTGCTTATTGCCTCACAGATATAGATGATGTCTCCCCCTCCCTCTCCGGTCTAATTGTACATTTCACATGCACAGACCATATGTATGTATGGGATTTGATGATTTCATTGATTTGAACTGCTAGAGGATCGATTTGTTAAAAATCGTGCTATTTTTTGTATGTGTCGATTTATGCGTAGTTCTTTCTTACTATACTTGCTTTAGTTGCGCCGTAGGTTAGGCAGGAGTTGGTTCAAGTTCATGGAAGAAAAGAAAGGTGAGAAAACCCCATGTGATATGCATGCATCATAAACAAGATGAGATCCTTTATTGGCTCATTGAATTATTTGTTGCTCAAGAACGTCACTAATTAATTGTGCGAACGATATTTAACACCTTCGTAGAGTAATCTCTACGATTACTTTAGCAATAAATGGCCGCTCTCCTGTCAAAGAAAAATATATCTTTGGATTAACCTTTCTTACCTACAGAAGACCATAGTAATTCGTAAGCGCGTCTATCCTTAATCCGGGATTCATCGTGCTAGCCCTCTCTGGATCAGAATTGGATCAAGCGTAGCAATTCTTTCTTGACGTACGGCTGGTCGTCTGTGTTGACACTATCTTCACATCGTCTGCAGAGGCAACGCCGAAGCGAATTCTTCAGCTGATGGGCGCCAAGGGAGTCAGCATATCTCACATCAAGAGCCATCTCCAGATGTACAGGTCAAGCTCTAGCAACACCACCTGCAACGGTCTACCCAATGCATCCGTTGCTAGCCGTCGAGATCACCGTGTCGTTGACGGGCCAGGCCACAGGAACGGAAATGACATGGGGGAGAGGACCAACGATGCTTCTTCTTACGCCGTGCCTCCCCACGGCCACCGCTCATTGCCGCCATACCAATTGTGAGTACCAAAATTGGCTCTTAGTTCAGTTCTTCATTAACTTTTTTTTTGAGACAAAGTTCTTCATTAACTGTAACTAGTGTTCGTATGTGTAGTGTAACCAATCTAGTTGTTAATCAAACGTGCTGGTTTTGCAGACCGTCGATCGAAGAAGTTTTCAGGAGCTGGGAGCAGAGTAGAGGGCGGTTACCATGGAACTCCAGCATGCCATCAGAGAAGGTAGGATTGCTAGAAATCAAGTGTTATTTTTTGTCTTTGCTAGCTAGAGACAAAGCTAGGAATACATCGATGAGTACAAACTATGAACAAATCCAAAGGAAGCGAAATTACTCATCTTTCTTGCTTTCCAAAGATAGTGTCATCGATGAGTACATGCAAGTGCAGATGTGCTGTATATTATCAAGAGGAAGCTTCATTTTTGTTAGTAGTTCGTTAGGTGGCAGTCACCAGACTCTGCCAAACTACCACCATGGCACAAACACGCTGCCGTGTATTGACTGTCCAGTCTCCAGTTCTATTGTAATATCAGCACTGAAACATGTTAATCCCCTGACATGGCTGATGTTGTTGCAGGCGACTCGCTGGGCATGCCATGCTGACAGAAGCACGCGTCAACAGCACCAGCCGGCGGCGGGGTGTGACCTGACGCTGTCGATCGGCCGTTGGGAGGCGGAGGCGGAGGCGGCGAGCAGTGATGCTGACATCTCGAGCACGACCACCGAGGAGGTCGCCGTGCCGGCAAGGGATCGAGGAGCCGGCGGTCACCATCGCTCCGCCTCCGCCACCGGTCTGGTCCTTGACCTGAACCTCGACCTGGCCGTCTCATCTTCTTGTCTTTGATGTGATCGATGCCCTCCCTGTGTAAATATATAGAGCTGCATGCATCTTTGTATATAAATTTACTTACATAGATCGCACCATAGATCGTGTAGTGTAGTGGTAGCAAATTTCTGATGTTTCTTGCTAGCTATATGAGTTTCTTTTTACAGACTGCCATACTCACTAGGGATTTCTACTGTTCTAGCGGTATATGCATGCATGATTTGAGCCCTTGTATGTACGTACTTCACATACTTATATGTATATGGTTCGCTTTTATGTATATACATTATCAGGAAAGGCTTTCGCCCCGCTCTATATAAAGCAACAACCACCTAACAACTTGAGTCATACAACACGACACCACAACACATTACACACCCAAGGCAAGATACAAAGGTGCTAAAGGATCAGCAACATTACTCCGTACAACTCCCAGCAAACAGCAGATATACACTAACCATCACTAGGAGATGACCGAAGCTCTCAATAGCGAACACACTAACAGGTGAAGCTGAGGGCCGATGATCCGTGAACTCCAACGCGGTGCCTTCAAGAAGGGCACGATGCAGGAACACCACCACCGCTCGATCCAAAAGGATCTAGATTTTCATTCGGAGATACATTGAGGTCAAGGAGCAACCGCGATGAGGCCTTCAAGAAGAGAACAATGCCCATGGGCGCCAGCTCCGTCGGTCCAGAATCAGACAAGGTTTTCACCCCGGCAAGCACACTCCACCTTCGACAAGGGAGCAGTGAGTTGCGAGAACATCTGCCGCACCCCGCCACGAAACACCAACCACCAGCAACCACGCACGCCCACTCGACCATGGCAGCCAACCAGCACCCGAGCTGCGAGCCCCGCCCACGAGCACCACACCTCCGACCACCAGGGCCGCCGCCCGGCACCCAAACCTCCTAGAGCACATCCATGAGCATGAGGCGAGTGCCGCCTAGAAAACCAGACCACTGATGGAGCCGCCAGTGACTAGCTTGACCAATGCAGATCCAACACCGGGAAATACCAGGAAAGGGAGAGGAGGGGGAAAGGAAATGGACTTCGTCCACGACCGGCGCCCCCCCTCGCCAATGAAAGGTGGCCCAACCATGTTAGCGCCACCCATCCATCCCACTGACCTCCCCACACGCCACCTCCAGTGGTGCCCTGCCACGGCTCCGGCCGAGATCTGCAAGCGGCAGGATCCAGACACCCGCCCATCGAACAGGAGGGACTTCCAGGAGGACGACCACGAGCCGACTGCAAGCGCGCATACACCGAAACATCCAATCTCCGCCCAACCCGCTCTGCATCCGTAAATCTGCTACACCGCGGAAGGAGCTCGCTGCTCTGCCACGGACCATGCCCAGAGCGGCGACCAAACATAGCCGCCGCCTCCACCCCGGTAGTGTCTATGATGCGTCATGATTAATTTGCCGTCAGTAGACACTAGAGGCACGACAACGCACCCAAGTGTATGAAGCAGTCCCTGACACTACCACGGGAATACCCAGCGGTGGCGGGAGCTAAAGTGTCATCAGTAACGTACTCGGCCCTCAGGAGCACCCGCCACTGCTAACATTTAATCAGTGGCCGATATGTTGACCGCCACTGATGATGCTGCCACCGGTGGCGGACAAGTGCCAGTGATACATTATGCCAAGCAAAAAAGAAAAAACACTGCCATGGCAGCGGTTTTGGCTGCCGTGGCATCATTTTTCAGTTTTACAGTAGTATTGCTATCATAAAGCCATATATAATACAGTTTAAATACACACTTTAGTTTAACAGCTCTCTAATGTTTAATTCCTAGGAGTATTACTAGCGATCGAGTGCTTATCTTCTTATCTCCCTAGCTAGAGATCACAAGCATGAATTAACGCACATGATAAATAGACAAGTAAAAAGTAATATATGAACAAGTCCAGATGAAGCAAATGTTACTCAAATCAATTACCTTTCTTGCTTTGCAGGTGATCCGCTGATTACGTCACGCTCATAGCAAGTCAACGTCTAAGAAGAAGCAGCCTGCGGCGGGTTGTAACCTGAGTTGTCGATCGGCAGGTGCGAGGAGCGGGCGGTGAGTAGCAATGCCGACGGTTCAAGCACGACCACCAAGGAGGCCATGGCACCGGCGAGGGGTCAAGGAGACGTCGACCACCGCCGCTCCACCTCCGCCGTCAGGCGGTCTCAACCTTCACCTGGCCACTTCGTCATTTCATCCGAGTAGCTGTTATTGGGCTGTCTCTTTATAATTGCCTTGGGCCGCAAATATGTTCAGACAGTCGCAGTCACGAACTGTGGTACGATGTGACGTGATTGGACCGCTGTGGATTCGGCTGGAGAGAAGTCGGTGTTGAGAAGGAGAAAGAACACTGTAGTCATGAAGAAAAAATGATTCCCTGACGATGACTATTTGCTGGCTGTGAGAATTTTCTACATATTATGGTGACAAAGTAGCGGAAAATATGTGGCTGCTGGCTAGCCTAGGCACCGCCTCTTTGACATTGCACCAACCGGAAAAAATTACGTGTAGATGTAACTGCACGTCAATCAACTCGTGCCATGGTAAAACCGCCTCCCCCTCCCTACCTTCTCGGTTAAGGGGACAAAATGATTTAATCACAAGTTTCATGTATCGACGGTTCTTTTATACATGTCAGTGTAGTACTTCCTCCGTCTAGGTGTGTAAGTCATCTTACGAAAATCAAATAATCTCAAAACATTTAGGCGCGATGCATTAACTTCTATCTCGTTTCTTGTTTCTTGACATATCAATCAATAAGAGATGAGGGTGTGCATGTTTTTAATGACTTGAGATTATCAAACACGACATGCAGTGGTTACTTCATTGCATGCAATACTATTAATTAGCAAATAAACTTTAATGCCTCTCATTTTTCCCTCCTCCTTGGTCACGGTGCATAGCCTAAGATGACTTACTCACCTAGACGGAGGGAGTATTGACTTTTATGCACGAATCAATTGTCTAGCACATAGTGTCTAGGGTTCAATGCACGGACTAGTTCACCGAGGATTTAGTCCGGCAAGCCAAAGCGCATGAAAGCATCGGGTCGTTGTACCTTTTCACCAATGGCTTCTTTCGGCTCGCCACCCTATCATCAACGATCATCATGTCGTCACATGTCCATCCTCCTAGATATTATCTCCAACACAACTGGCATAGAGTTTCAACTTTCAAGAACGACTTAGTTATTGTTTTCTAAACCAGAGTCCAAAGCCCTCGTGCTATTAAATTGGTAGGAAAGAGTATTCTAGCTAATTACAGAAAAGGGTAAAAATCCATATGATAAACACGCCCACGTACAAAAAGGGCACTATGGCCGACTTGACCACCAACCTGGACTTGACACTACTATGAAACCACTACCAAGGCCATTGAGCAACATCATTGGCATCACCCATCACTTCTGATACTTCAACTTCATCATGGATAACCACCAACATTGAGGGCCACAACATGATGCACGTGTAGTCTTTACAATTTCATGGTGTTCATCCACACAAGCAATATGGGCAGCTGGTTTTTTCGAGTGAAGTTTCCATACCAGATCGGAGAAAAAATCTTACTCCAAAGCAATAATTTCAAGGGATCTGGTGAATTTCATATTCCATCACGGAACTGAATCCCCTGGCCAAAACATGTCAACATGATCGATGCATGAGGGCAAACACAAAAAACTTTCAAAGGGTAACTTTGGATGTATGTCTAGTTAACTTTGCCATTCGTCCATCAAAATGGTTAAAGTTCAGAGAGTTGCTAATAGGTTTTGAGATAGCTAACCGTACATGCTACATGGTGTTCAAAGTCGGATAGGGCATCACGTTTAATACATTTGGGGAAAACATCTAGCTGACTAGATTATAGTCGCTCTCAGTTCCTTTGTTTAAGACTACTAGTCTAAATCGGTAGAAGGGAGTTCTCTAGCTAATTGCTGAAAAGGGCGAAAATTTACACGATAAACAGTTCGTGCACGGACGAACAAGGGACCATAGCCCTCAACACACTATTACAAAACCACTGCAGGGAGGCATATAGCAACATAATCGGGAGCACCTATCATGTATGATATGCCGACTTCAGCTTCGTCATGGATAACCAGCAACATCGATCGCAACAGCAAGATGCACTCCTAGTAGTTACAACGTCATGTTTTCCATCCAGACGAGCAAATATGGCGGCTGATTTTTCCCAGTGAAGTTCCCGCACCAATTAGAGAACAATTCCAACTCGAAAACAAGAATTTCTAGCGACTGAATCCTTAGACCGCCGAAAAAATCGACTTGTTGACATGATGGATTGAAAAGAAAAAAACATAGACTTCTGGTGCAAGTCCGGTTGACTTTGCCCATTCTGTTCAGAGTTTTTTCTTTTTCTTTTGAGAGACCATTCTGTTCAGAGTTGGGATCGGGCTTTGACGTTTTTGGGCAGGTTCGAAAGAAAATTAACCAGAAGAGGCAATAACTCTTGGGGAGCTTTGCATGGTTGCCTATGAGGCAACTGTCGCTGCGTGCAGTTGAAAAACACCACTGCTGGTAACTAATTGCCGTACACGATGGTGTACACGTACGCCCACACGGAGTACTATTCAGATGAACTAATCAAGAGTTGGGAAAAAAATCCACATAATGGTTACTTACATGCAGCTGATAATCACGTGTATACCGAACTTTGTCGATGTTCGTACTATCTTTCTTTTTATCTTATTATACTCCCTCCGTCTGGAAATACTTGTCATTGAAATAGATGCATCTAGATGTATTCTAATTCTAGATACATCCGTTTTCATCCATTTTGATGACAAGTATTTCCGGACGGAGGAAGTACGTATGTGACATAACTTTAGAATTAGAGCATATAATTACACGTACACACGTACACACGCGCATCTCGTGATGCGTGGAGTTATCCGAATGTTTTATGAGGCATGCTTCCGTGTTGAGTGCCAACGCTTGTGGGTTTGTGTGTGTCACATTGCGGCGCCGTGGAAGCTTAGGAGTT